TATTGTTGTGTGAGTTGTTTTAAAGACATTCTCCTGGATATTATCCCAAATGATCTAGACTTTCTTAGTTCGGAAACTGCAGCATGTTTTTTAATAGAGTGTCTGGTCTTGTAACAGTGTTCTGCAAAACTGATGAAAGAAAAGCCTGAAAGAGAAACCATCAGAAGTCATTTTATTTAAAGCTGATATGATAACAATATCTAACACAGTTCATGTGTTGTCACTGGTAAATATTTAGCTTGTAGTGAGCTGATAAGATAATTTCTTAAGCAGTATAAAATTAAGATCATTCCAGGATAGCTACAACATTGTTTAGAATTTCAGGAAGACTTCAGTTCCAGGATGTGAATGGAGCACACCCTCCCCTCTTCTTCCTGAACAATCACTGAAATGATAACAACTAACACAGGAGAGAATTCATATATCAACTAAGAATAGAAACAGAACATCAGCATACAAAAGCCACTGGTAAATTTCCACAAGATAGAACTCAGATAATGTAACAAGTAATAACAGAGAGAATTCCAGCGCTGAGTGGTCCCAAAGAGGCTGAGATCAAGGGCTGGTCAATTTTAATGATGCAGTTTACTGGAGTCCAGAGTTGATAATTATCAAAACTGAATTTTATTGCATGCTTGTTAGATGCCAAATAATGTCCCATTCAATCCTCATGGATTACAAAACCAATACTATTGCTAACTCATAGCTGAAGAAACCAAATCCCAGGAAAGTTAAGTGGTATTTCCAAGATTTTACAACTAATAAGGCAGAAGCTACATTTGAAACCCAACTGACTTAAATCTCATAACTGCTGTGCTGTACAGAGGCTGTTTTTCAGTTGTTATACTTACTTTGTTTTATATGCATATTTCAAACTTTAGGGAGCATTTTTATTCTTGGCATTTTATCTGCATTTATAAGTTGGAAGGTACTCAAAGTGTGCACTTTAAAATTGAGTTTGTTCAGCTTATTAAAAATAAGCCAGCATCATAAACTCACAGATGCTAAAACTATCTGTAATATAATTGCACCACAACATTTGCCCATTCATATATCTCTTAAAATTGACAGTTCTTCTATGAGAATACCACGCATCTATTGGAAGCATCTGACTGTTGCCTAATGTTTAACTGAGCACAGCATTCACGGGTTGCTCAAATGGAGTAGATAATACAGTTTTTCAAGAGGTACCTATATACCAACAAATTCAAAACCACTGGCACGGACCTAAGACCTCTAATGTAACACATTGTATCTGCTTTATTTTTATTATTTATTTGTTTATGTATTTTGTCTGTTTGAGACAGGATCTTGCTATACAGTTCAGGATGGCCTTGAGCTCACCTTATAGCCCAAACTGGCCTCAAATTTGCAATGATCCTCCTGCCTTAGCCTCCAGAGTGCTGGGATTATAGGAGTGAACCACCATCCCCGGCTGTGTTTACTTTACATGCAAATGTAAAACTTGTATGGTAAAGTTTGCTTTAGAGGTAAAAAATTTTATTTCAAAGTTTGCTCAAAAGCAAGTTAAGCTAGGTACTGCAGGTCCCCACATAATGTGTCTCAGTGCCAGCTTGTGTGGATTCCCTTTCCCAAGGCACAGGAGCCTGGCGGGCATGTTTAAACTGCAAGATTCTGTGCCCAGGGACACTGCTGGCAGAATCCAGGGTTACTCTTGCCACAAGTTAGTCAGTTGGATTCCCTCCTCTCAGCATTTGGAATTGAGCCTTCCAGTCCTTGTAGAAAAGAACGAAGGACCACACAAGAAGGATAAAGCAAAAATCTTCATGATACCCGGTTTCAGTCCCTCTCTGACACCTGGCTACATTGCAGGCTTTGGTCTCTAACAAAGTCCTGAGTCCTTCAAATAAAAGTTTCCACTTTGGCTTTAGCTACTTGCTATTTAGTTTATAGATCCCACAATGTATTACAATTCCTTACTAGTCCAAGAATGTTTTCTTAGTTACTTTTCTTTTTACTGCCACAAAACACCTGACACCTGAAGTTCAAGGAGGAAATTTTATTTGGCTGACAGTTCATGGAAGTTTCACTCCATAATCGGTTGGCTTCAAAGCAGGTAGGCACATGGCAGCCGGCAACTGTTTGTGTCCGTGGAAGACAGCAAAGGCAACAAGAGAAAAGGGGGTGACAAGCTCTTTATGCCCCTTACATTGTATCCAGTCTACCAGGATTAGGGTGGTGCCCTCCCAGTCAGTGGACTGACCCAGCAGTTGCCCACTCTTAATCCTAACACTGCACCATGAACCATCCATACATTCTAGATTCATCCAGAAAAGCCCCATCTAAAACTGCATGAGGCTTTTGAAGGACATTGAGATACAAACTATAACATGTTTGTTTTTATGTTGTATTCATTTTTCAAGTATTGAAATATTTGAAATGAATTTGTACCATGTCTTCAGACTCTTTTGTCTTTGGGGAACACGGTATTAAACCTTCTACTCAAAAGCTGCTGAAGATTCTTCAACAAGAATGAGGAGTTTCACCACTTTGAATTACAAACACCTCCTTGACAAAGCATGAAAGCACCACGCTTCCAGTGTCCACCTGAATCAGATTTGCAGGAAATTCTGTCTTTCTGAAAAGGTTTTCTTGTTTATGTTGAGTTGTGTCTAATTTTGGGGGGCTGAGTGCAGCTCACACAGGAGCTCTGAAGACTCACAGACTCTCCCTGCTGTCCTGAAGCTGCTGCCCTGTGCTTATTTGTAAATCTGTTAGCTGGTTCACTGGGCTGTTCTAAATACAGAAAAGCATTTCCATCAGTCTCTGATGGCCAGGGAAGTCAAGCTACTCACTACCACTGTAAAATTTAGAAGGAGAAAGAATGTAAAAAAACAAAAATAAAACAACAAAAGCACTGTGAAGAACAAGTGAGAAACGGAAGAAAATGAAAATGCAAAAAGTAACAGTCGGAGAGCAACAAATACAGGAGGCCAAAGAAGACAGAAGCCATGGCAGAGGTTCAGGCAGAGCTGCCCTTGACCCTGACATGGAGGCTGCAAACTGCAGCAGGGTAAGAGAGATTCAAAGGAGAAAAGATAGCTGCTCCTCAAGGTGACTGCAAGGGTCCCGCGACCTGAAGACAGCATTTTAGACAGCCCCGTACCTTGCTGAGGCCAAGCGGCCTACCTAGACAGATATTCAGTGAAAGGCACGGTGCCTTGGGCATGGCAGAACTCAGGGTCGGGTTTGAATTTCCTGACGTGCCCAGCTCAGTTCAGCTGCCAGGAAATATATACTACGTGTCTTTAGTGCCAACCATCCCTGACAGTAGTTTATGACATACAAGGGATTTTCCTAATCCTAATCTTGATACCCACAGTCCTGGGGCTCATAGGTATGCACTTTATAACCCTTAAACTTAGGAAAGTTAAGAACAAAAAGGAGTCATTTCCAAGTTCTCTTGATTCCACATCTCACATTTAATTCTCCACATCACAACAGACTTAAATTCAATGTTAATTTAGTGGAATCGCAGCCCTAGAAAGCAAGCAACAACAAGAATATCTTTTCTCTTTATTTGAAACAAATAATTAGAAAGTAAACAGATACTAAGAGAACAACTTTTATAAAAGCATGTTCTAAATTCTTTTTTATTTAGTCCTACATTTGCCTTTACAGGGAACGATAAGAGAGCATTTATGGAGCATTTCCGTGCCGGGCAACGCGATAGTCATTTTACATTCCTTAAACTCAGAAACGGTCACTGGATTTACCCAGCTCTCAGTGATGAAGTACTGAAGCTCGGAGAGATTAAGTAAATGCCACGAGTTATAGTCGCACGAAGGCAGAGTCTCAGCTGAACCAGAACCTAACCTGGAGCTGTTTCTCAGTCCTCACACTGTGCCCCTGGACACAACACTGATAAGGAAAAACATTCTTTCCCACCAGAACTATTTTTTCGTCAAAAGTGGTTTAAATTTTTTAACTGTAGTGATCAAGAGAAATTATTTTCCTGTACTACTCTTTACCTTACAATTCAGGATGGAGTTGCTTTTCCACTTGTACTTTTTGTAACCTTGCCAAATATTGCCATATTACCATTAATTGTATAATTATCTTTATTTACAGAAGTCAGAAGGTTTTTCTAAAAATGAAAGGCATCTGATTTTCTACGTGTGTGTGAAGATGATGGTGTTCATGCTAGACTCTTACAGCACATTCTTTTCTTTGTTTTTCTGTGCCTTTCTCCCTGGCCACTCCGTGTGACCAATTGTTCCTTCTTTCAGTTATTTTTAATGATGTTTCTTTTTTCCTTTTCCTTGTTTTTACTGGCTTTATCAAGCCACATTTATCCCAGTCTTTCTCCTGATATTTTGAGAGTTTTATCCCTTTGTCTTTCATAAATGACCACCTCCCTTCATGCTCAGAAGGACACTCCTTCTTTCCTGTTTATCTGAAGATATGTTGTCATCTGTTTCTCCTACCTCAAGGACTCTGGTTTTCCACTTTTTCCTCATTCCAGTAAATACAAACCTTTAAAACATATTCACCCCACTTCCTAGTATTTTTTCCCTGCCAGCTGCCTTGCCCACCATGGAATTTTTGGAGAATTATTAGTCCTTTTCCTATCACTAATTGTAATATTTTTCTGAGGCCATTAAAAGCCTTTCATATGGCCCTCTCTTTTACAGCAATGTCTAACACTTACTGGTCCTAAAACAATGCACTCTGTCTGTTTGTACTTCAGGAAAAATATATATACATACATATTTTTTTTCGGTCTTTTTTCTTTTTATCGGTACCGGGGATCGAACTCACGACTGCCTGCTTGTAAGGCAGGCGCTTATGCCACTGAGCTAAATCCCCAGCCCCCAATAAATATATCTTGCAAGCTTCATTGTTCACTACTGTTCCCTCTCCATTATATCTCTATACTAAAAGGTTTTTTTTCTATTTTCATGTGCAGTGTCATTTTTGAATACTTTTCTTACATGGAAAGCATGAGGAATATATTTTTTGATTATATATATCCAAAATTTAATATCATTCACCTTTGCAGGAGAATAACAATTGGCTGATATTGGACCTCCGATGGGAGAGATTTTCCTCTGGCAATGTGCGGGGATCTTAGTTCATTGATCCTTCTAGTGTGACAGATGAGAAGTCTGATTCTCTTTCCTTTGTAGGAAATTTATTTTTTCTGTCTATAAGCTGATAAGATTTTTCTCATTAGCTTTGGACTACAGGAATGTATTATTAAGCAATGTTACTAGGAGCTCATTGACTCCTAATATGAAGATAAGTCCCATTAGTTCTGGGATGTTTGCTACCATAATTAATGTCCCTCTTCCTGTTCCCTTTGAACATTTTTTCTAAAATTCCCTTTAAAATTATGGTTCGTTTGCTTACTAAAACTCTTGGATATTTATTAAGAAAAAATATTTTCTTGTCATAATCACTTTGCATTTAAAGTATGTCTGGTTATTATTCTTCTTTGCCTTTAGTCCAATCTTAGAAATGGGTATCTTCTCCTTTTACTGAACTATTTGGTAAGGAAATATCTTTTCTTAAGTCTATTAAAGTATCCTTTCTTCCATGTTTGCAGTTCTTGAAGCGTTTTTTTTTAATTGTATACTGTTCAAATTTTCATTTCCGTCCACTGCATCTTCAGCTCAGTATGATTTATTCTGGTACTCAAAAGAATTGTTGTTCCATGAGCTTGTCTCAGAACCTCAGGTTTAAGATTCTGATCCCTGAGGAATAGAAAGTAAACAAGGAGAGTGAAAAAAAAGAAATGAAAACAGTTTTAAAAATAATAAATCTGATACGTGATTTTATAGAGATCTTAGTTTTAGCAAACAATAAAAATTATCTGTTTGAGAAAAACTGAACACTGATAATTAGTAATATAAAACAATTGAAACTTTTAAGTGAGATAATAGAATTGAAGTGATATATTTAGAAATGTAATTTACTGGCATACGTTGAAATGTTTATAAATACATTCATGTGATGATTAAGAGTTGCCTGAAGACAATGGGAGTAATTGAGTGTGGTTTCAGATGAAATAAGATGAGCTTTGATACTGAGAAGGGCAATCCTTCTTTTCCTCTCCAGATATTCTCAGACTTTTCCTATCTATATATTCTTTCTTGGTGACATTTTTAATAGAATAATTAGACTTCTGAAATAAAGGTCTCCAAGGAGCACCAAATTGGAAAGTGCTAGATTTTTTAAAGACGTAGGCCTGCAACAGGCACACCATCCTATCTTTGCATTGTTTTGACTAATGAGAGACAGAAGGCCATTCTAGATTCAGTGCAGGAGGGAACCACACAGTGGTGTAAACCCTGGACGGCACAGCTCATAGGGCTAATTTTGGGAGACTTGTACCCATATTGATGTGTAAATTAAGACTTCAAAGTTTTAAAGTTGCTTTGTCTTCTCTTTCCCAGGTAAACATTGCTGAACACAAACAATTTGTGGTGGGTAGAGAGGTCATGGCCTGTTTCCTCCAAAGCTAGCACTGGTCCTCCCCCCCAGGCTTGCCAGGATTTTGGTCCTACTTGTACCAAAGCAAGGAGAGAGAACTGCAGTAAGAAATGCAGAAGTTTTTACCTGGGCAGTGTCACTGTAAAAATGGCTCCACCCTCTGAATTTGGCAGATATTTGGAGCTGACTGTATTATCCTAGAACAGGTGATTGTGGCAGAAATGGTCAGACAGAATATAAAGTCTTTTGAGATCTCGCCTTGAGTCACTTGAAACATTTCACTCTATTTTCTAAAAAATAAACAAGGATATATTTATCTGGTTCTCTGTGCGCCTGGAAGTACAGGTTTTATTTTGATTATGCATAAAGACTTTCTGCAGGAACCTCTCACTGTTCATTTCCCATCTACCCAAAGCAATCCTCTGGGGAAAAGTGAGACCCGCCCTCTGTCACATTCCCCCCACAGACACACTGCTCGTGCATCTTTGAGCCACCAGTCCCCCAGAATGACGTTGACCTCGGTGCAGTAGCATTTCCTTCACTGGTGACACTGGAGAACCAGCTGAAATCGTTGATTTTCTGGAAAGCAGTCAGACACCAATCTATTTTGTCTTCCTAATAGCAAGGAAGGCATTAAACTCTCCAGTGTATTAACTGGAGATCTTATTCAATGGGGGAAACACCCAACTCCATGGGTGGAAATTAAGAATTTACAAATTAGATTTACAATTAACTCTGTTAAGTACCACTGCCAATATGACTAGACTCTCAGTGTTGATGATGAACTTAAGGATTAACACTTGGCTTTTGTTTAACTCCTTTTTGCAAGTCCCAAAAGGTGACTTATCTCACTTTTGTACAGTATCTGATTTCTATTCTATCTTGGTGGCTGAATTATGACTTTCATTCCCCTATCTTATTATATGTGATCTGTATATACCAGCTGTGTTCACAGTCCTTTTCCTAATTCAGATGTTTGTTTTGAACACTTTTCCACATACTCCCAAAGATTTTTTAAACCTTACTACTTTATGTAGATAAAAAAGAGAACACAAGAAAATATGTAGAACTTCACATTTTAGAAATAATTTATATCCCCAAATCCTTATTTCTTACCCAAAGCAAAGACTAAATACTGACAAATTCCCCTTTTCTCTCTTTCCCTGCATAGCTACACAAATATTTATAGTTAGGGAGTGAGACGCCTCACTGACATAGGCAATGTGAGTCAGAGTCCTGGGCCATCTTGGTAACCAGAGCGGCAGGCAGTGATGACGTCAGAAACCTGGCTGTGGCTTGTTTGTTCAGGGCTTCTATGCTGAAGAAATTCCAAGGTGGCCTCAAGAAAACAGGAAAAGGTTTTTACTCCTTTTGAGAAGTACCTGGAAATGATTTCTAAACAAATTACCTAGATTCTTGCAGCCTTTTTTAACACTTCAGTTTGAGGATTTGGCAATAATGTAAGGCTATATAAACACAGATTTGATTTTATACATTTGCTAATGTATTAATTTTGACTTGTTTGTCCCATACTTTGGACCTTAACTGTTCCCCAAAGGTCACGAGTTAAAACCTCAGTCTCTCCTACCTGATGCTCTTGGGAGGTGGGGGAAACTTGAAGATGTGGGGCCCCACGCCCTTCCTCTTCCTCTTTTTCCTTCCTAACCGTGAGGTGAGCAGTCCAGTCTCCCATGATGATGTGTCACTGTAGGCCAAATGCAGCAGAGCCAATGAATCATGGAGTAGAACTTCCAAACTGAGCAAAATGAACCATTTCTGTTTGTAAACTGCTAATCTCAGGTATTTGTAACAGTAGAACGGCTGACTAGGATTATGAAAGCATCCAGTGAAGAATGGTTGTGCCAGAACCCTAGATGTTGCACAAAGGCTTTTTAAAACATGGCTTGCGGTCACTGTGCTGGATTTAAGTGTTACTGAGTTCTGCTTAGACTCCATTTATGCTGATGCCCCACTTTCTTTTCAGCCACTCTAGGTTTCTCAGGTTCCCACTTCACATTTGCTCTACCTTATCATTGTTTTAGCTTATCATTGTTTTTAGGTACTTTTCAGGAATCTTATCCACGGAACATACACAAAGTTGCAATATTCTAGATTATTCATAATGCTAAGCCACATGAACTCTTCGCCCTGCGTCTCAAAAGGGCTGACCATTTACTTAAAATGGTTAGCAATTTTATCCAGTAAAGAAAATGTATAAGCTCCATCCTAGCTAGAAGTTGTTTAGTTGACTATCATACAGACAAGTAATAAGCAAGTTTTTAGCTGCATTGAAAATCGACCATATCAAAAGAGTTCACAAGAGAAGCAATACTCAACCCTTATGAGTTCCTGACTTCATCGGAGAAATTTCCCTATTACTGATGAGCAAGGGGTCTGGGAACGTGTTTCAGGATAAACTGCTTGCCTAACATCAAGGCCCTGGATTCCAACCTAACACTGCAAAATAAAATAAAATAAAAATAATGAACAAAGGAGGCCTAACCCCGACAAATAAAAAGAAATTCCTGCCATCTGAAATGCGCAAAGTTATAAATGAGCCTGAAGGAATCATCTAATAAATGCAATAGCTCGATTCAGAAAAAAACAGTTTCTAGCCCAGTGGATACTCAAAGTCCCAAGCCACCACTCATGGCTATACAGGCTGTTTAGCATACAGCTTCAGGCTGTCAGGAGTGCCCCGACATAGAAGAGTTCAATAATGTAGTACCCACGCCAGGGCTGACCTAGTACAGCGACTCCCTAAGCCCTGTGTGTGCTGAGGTAGGAACTTACTCTGAGGTAGACGGAGGTCAGACCAAGTAAATGTACCTAGTGCACTGGGGTTATAGTTACAAACATGCAAAGAAATTTAGTACAGTTATGCTTACAGAAAAGTTGAAAAAATAGCACTTGTGAAGTAAAAAGCAATCCGTCCTCTCAGGAGTGGTGGTGGCATCTGTAAACCCTAGCACTCTGAGAAAGGAAAACTGCAAGTTTGAGCCCAGCTTAGGAAATTCAATACTTTAGCAAGATTGTCTCAAAAAAAAATTTAAAAAGCTGAAGATGTGGCTCAGTGTGAAAGCTCTGGGTCCAGTCCTCAATAACACACACACACACACACACACACACACACACACACACACTTTCATCTAAAAATAAAATGAAACTCATTTTTACTGACCTAATCCGTTGAATGAACTAAGAAAAATGTACATTGAAGTAGTGCAAAAGCTACTGCTTCTGAAAGTGGGTTACTATATGTAACAAAATGTTCAGTTGCATTGTACTATGAGGATGCTTGCTCTTACTGCCATGATCCTATGGCTAACTGAAGGCGAATGCTGCCTAAGTAGTATATTTCATAGTGAAGTACTCCCCCTTGTGGTCATCAGCAAGAATTTTAATAAAGCTGAAATCTTTAAAATTTTTCATTTCCTCTTAATACTTACACAATTAAAAAAGAGTGGGCAGAGTAGCTATTTCACCTATGAGCCATATAAACTTAAAGACTTGCTTCAAAGTCAGGGCTTTTTAAGCCATTGGAGCTGAGATATAAACCTGTTCTAGAGTTTCAAGTAGAGGAGATGTAATGGCTGAAAATGTGTGTCCTACAAAATTCATGCATTGAACCCTAATTATCAAGGTGACAGCATTAAAAAGCTTTGTCCATCATGAATGGATTACTGCCTTACAAAAGAGGCCCGGAGAGCTGCTTTGCTCTCACCATCACGTGTGGATAGAATGCAAAGACACTGCCATGAGGATTGCACCTCTCCACACTTGAAAACTGCCAGTGCTTTAATTTGGATTTAGTCTATATGATAAATATATTTCTGTGGCTGTAAGCTACCCAATCTAAGGTGTTATGTTTTAGTAGTCCCAATGGACTTAGTACAGGTTTTTAACCCAGGCGCCATTGACATTTTGGATGAAATAATGTTTGTCGTGTAAGCTGTTCTTGCATTATGGGATGTTTATTAACATCCCCAGTCTCTACCAACTTGATGCTGGTATCAGGACCTCTTCAACACCACCTGATAATCAATAATGTTTGCAGGTATTTCCAGTGTCCCCTGAGAAGGAGAGTCATGTTCAGCTAAGAACCACTGTAATGGAACCAGCATAATAAAGAGACATGTCTGAAATCTTTTAATAGCCTCTAATCTCTGCTTCTCTGTTGAGAACAGACTACAAGCAACAGAGATAGTGTAGGGAGGCAAAATGGTAAAAAGTATTCAAACCCTGTATATATTCTCAAGTTAGAAATGACAAATTTTTAAAGGGTAGCTGTAGAGTGAAAAAGAGTCAGATAGCAACAAATCTTTTGGAATAAACATTAGGATCTAGTTTCTCTTAACTGAGAAGGGAAGACAGCAGGAGGGGCTAGCTTGACTGCCATTTGGACGGGAGAGTACAGCTAAAGGGCACCAACTTTGGACATGTTATATTTAAGAGACTTTTATAGACACCCAAATGGAAATGTCAACTTGTACTGAATATGCAACTTGAAATCAGCGCAGAGGTCTAGACTGTTACACTAAATTTTAGAGTCATTAGCTAATAGGTAACATTTAATGAACTTACTGAGAAGTGAATATAGGCTTAAAATTTTAAAACAAGAAATCACAAGAAATTTTAAAACAAGAAATTAGGATGGAACCCTACAAAACTCCAAACATTCAGTGTAAAGACATGTGTTCTAAAGGTCATAAGCACTTGCCCAGTTTTTCTGTTTACATGTAATGTCTTCATCTTAGAAACTCCTGTTGTAATGTGATCGTTTATAAATACCTATAATTTATTGTAGTTTTCTGCAATACTTTGCTCTTCTAGGTTATGAATTCCTGAGAATAAAGATTTACCATTGCATCTTTAGAAAACCTAGCAGTGTACAAAAAAAAATGTTTTATGTGAAAATGTAATATGAAATTCATCTTTTTAAAATGAAAGCATCCATAAAATAAGAAAACATTGATTGAAATTCTTAATTCAAGATTAGCAAAACTTGTATGTAACTAATATAACTGTGATTGTCATTACCAAGGATTCAACCACAAAAACCCTGCCATGCTGGATTCTACTATAAAGAATACACCCTTTCTTGGTTTGATTTTAATCAAAGCATCTCAACTAGCTAGCTAACTGGCATGTATTTATTTGTCTGTTTATTGCTATGGTTTGTGTCTAGAAGAATACCCCAAAAGACTCCCTAAGTTTTTTCAGATATGGCTGAATCTAGTGTGTGTGATTGATTTATAGTGCAATGCTGGGATTAAGGATGCTGGGATGAAGAGTGGGTGGTTGTAGGATCAGTCCACTGATTGGATGGGCGTTGCCCTAATCCTGGTAGACTGGATACAATGTCAGGAACAGAGAGAAGCTGTCTCTCTCTCCCTCCTTACTTTGCTACAGTCTGCCAGCCATAAACTGTTGTCCTCTGCCAAACCAACCTGCCTATGGACTGAACTCTCTACCCAGAGTTAGCTATGGAAACCTTTCTGCCCTTAACTTTGGGCATTGGACAGTTTGTCTCAGCAATGAGAAAAGTAACTAAGAGATTTATTTATTTATTTATTTATTTATTTATTTATTTATTTATTTTGGAGACAGGCCCTCTCTGTGTAATTCAGACTGGCCTTGAACTTATGGTGAGCTTTTTGTCTGAACCTCCTGAGTATTTGGATTACAGTACTGCCTATTTATTTTATAAATAAGGAATCTAAATATAATTTTATTTGAATAAGAAAATTGACTCCAAGACCAAAGATACATCAGATACATCAGGACATATGCTTGAATCTGAAAGAGCACAATTATGTTTTATAGTACCTTTATAGGCTTTTAATTGATTAAATAAAGATAAATCATAATTACAAATGTATGTATGTCAGAGATTACATACAGTTATTTGTACATTAATATTTAACCTTATTTAAAGGCAATCAACAACATTATAGATTAAAAATACAGGTGAGGAAACAAAAATATTAAGAAGTATACCCTAAGACATCTTGTCTGCAAATGGCACTGGATTGGAAACCAGATTTGACAGCAAAAACATTGATCTTAAAAATAGGGTCTCCTGCCTCACATGTATCAACTGACTACAAATAACCATAAATAGTTACTTTCAGTGCTGGGGATCAAAACCAGGGCTTTGCACATGCAAAACACACACTCTGCCACCAAGCCACCCTTCAAGCCCCCAAGTTGTTTTCCAATACAGCAGTTTTGGAGGAAGAAAGAAAATACGAAAACAGGAACAAAACAATACAGCTAATCCTGTTTCTTTTAAATTTTCATCTGTATAGTCAGCTTTCCCATCTCTGGGAAAAAATACCTAACACTAGCAACTAAAAGGAAAGAGGCTCCTTTTGGCTGACAGTTTGCAGCATTCGCTCCATGGCTGGCTGGCCCACAGCAGAAACATCGTATAAGAGTGTGGCAAAGGAAAGCGACTCACTTCATGACAGCCAGGAAGCAGAGAAGAAGGGAGGAGACGGGAGAAAGTCCAAAATCACAGCTGACACACCTCTGTCAGCCACTTGCCACCTCCTAACGGCAACTTTAGCAATGAACTCATCAATGAATCAATTCCCTGAAAAGCATAGCACCCCTGTGAGCCAGTCACTTCCAAAGCCCCACCTCTAAGCATGAGATGTTTAGGAGACCTTCTAGACCTAAAGCACAGCATTTCCCCTTGTCCCTAAA